TTAATTATTGGTCAATTAAAAAACAGCAGAGCCTGCTTGATTCTGAATGTGCGTATTCGCCTCTTCGCAGTGGATTTCGATTAAACAATTTCAAACATTCTGTCAAATAAATTCTCGAAATTTCTAAATAAAACAACATATTGAATTAATTATTAATAGTTATTTTGTCGTCTTTTAAACGTATCTTTTAAAGGCAGTTTAAATAATATATTATCACCAACGATTAACGATTAATCCAATTACCAAAACACTTTTTATAGGCATTTTAGTCGCTTTAAGTGAAGTGACACACAAGGATGAAGAAAATTTAGCACCTTAGGAACAAGGTACATGGCTATTATGATATATCTTAAACTTGTATGATGATTTTTCAGCGATTTATTTTACTCTGTTAATGTTTTCATCGATTGAAGGCTTTATTTCAAGCCAATTTTTATTGATAACAAAATTTATTATAACCTAACTTTTTCCCGATTTCAAAGATCATTAAAGCCTTATTTTGGACTCGTTTAGTGTGAAGAAAGATTTAGAAAAAATTTAAAGCGATTTTAAGTTGGTTTAACGTTGTTTTTTATATATCCTTGCTGCTAAATTACCATTTTATTTACCAGTGCGGTTAAAGTACAACTTTAAGAGTATGCTACTCTATATAACAATAGGGTTCCTATACAATTTATAAGAAAACTTTACATTAAGTTTTAGGCTGCAAGTATGTATTCCAACTAGGGATTGCAATCCAGCAAGGTTTTTAATCCAGCTGGATTTAGGCTGAATCAACATCAATCCAGCTGGATCCAGCGCGGATCCAGCAATTTATAATTAAAAAATTAGAAAACTTTTATAATTATTTTAGTTTTCATAAAAAACTAATATATAATTTATAGAAAATAAAAAATAAACGAAATAAAACTTTAATTTGACAGCAATTAAATTAATTAATTTAATTTATTGATAACTAAAATTTTTCATTAATATTTTTTTTAAATTAAATCGTAAATTTTAACAATTTTCAGGTTTTCTTAATTTTTAAACTCTGTTTAATATAGGTTTTTTTGGTAAAAAACTGATTAGCCCAAACTGATTTATCCCCTTTTAAACCCCATAATATAAATTATATCTACTGGACAATTAAATGTAAAGGGTCTATCAATAAGAGCGCAAGATTTCAAAGTTTAATAAAACATGGTTTTAAGTATTTAAGCATTGAAATATTTATTGATTTATAAAGTACACATTTGGAAATTATGTATAAAATAACACATCTGGTAAATGGCCACCACGGCTTAACTGGCACATGCGTATTCTTTTGGCAAAATTTGCAATAACATTATTGAATACATGTGGCGGTATTTCGTTGATAGAGCGTCTAATTTTTGCTTTTAAGGCCTCGATGGTGGCGGGTTTGTTGGCATAAACTTGTGACTTCAAATAACCCCACAGCCAAAAGTCCAAGGGTGTTAAATAGTGGTGAAAATGGGCCTCATCACTGAAAATGATTTTGTCCGCCAAATCGGCATTCACTTCTTGCCGCTTAAGGATCCAATTGGTGAACTCTCTTCGCTGTTCATGGTCTTTTGGCTGGAGTTGTTGAGTCAATTGGACTTTGTAGGCATGAAGATGCAAATCTTTAGTAAGAATTCGCTGAAGAGTGGCTTTTGTGATGTCCAATTCTTGTGCACGATGGCGAATCGACGTCTCTGGACTCTCGGCCACACTGAAAGAAATATATGTTTGTCCATATATGAAACATAAAATATATTTACCTTAACCATTTTTATATTTAGTTTTAACATATTATGTTAAAACTAAATATAATATATGTTTGTTTTAGCAAATGTATGTGGTAGTCCATATATGAACCACATATATTGCTAAAACAAACATATATTTCTTTCAGTGCACACTCTCGCGAACTGCTGCGATATTTTGTTCTGAACGACCTCTACGAGCTCGTGCCGTGTGTTTCACATCACTAACCGAAGCAGTGGTTTCAAATTTTTTGATTATTCTTTTCACAGTAGATGAATTAGGAACATTATTTTGAAGAAATATTGGACGCCCTTTACGAATCGTGGCAATCAAACTTTCATCATTTTGATAATATTGTTTAACAATCAGGACGGGTTGTTCTATCGTGTAATGCTCCATATTTACTAACTCCCATCTGTCTCCTATCAATCTGTCATGTTATTAATCATGTGACATCAAGGTTGCCAAACTGAGGCAAAATTCAAATCTTGCGCTCTTATTGATACACCCTTTATGTAGAACATTAAACTGATTTATACTTAAAAAGCTTTAACAAAATTAATTTAAAGATTATAAGATCTTTATTATTTTTTATAATAATTATTATTTCAAGTTTTGTATTTTTTTGTTCACAATGTAAATACTGTAATGTAATGTAATATTTATAAATAAATTAAAATTAAAATTCAGTCAAATTACTCACAATTCTCACAACAAACAACTTGGGTCACAGCGGTGCCAAGAAGACACTTATTTAGCATGAAACTGTATCAAGCGAGAGGGAAAAGTGCGGTGTAGAAAGGGGTGTAGCACGCTCCGCAAGCGTGACAGACAGAACGGTAAGGTCGCTCCCGCCGAGGATGTTTGGGCGTTAGCGCACCTAGCAAAGCTGTCAACGTAGACTTTTGCGCCATTATTTCGAAAGTTAGTTATTTGCGAATCCCCAGTGCTGGATCCAGCAGGCTGAAAAATGCGCTCTATCCAGCTGGATTGCTGTATAAGGGGTCCAGCAATTGCAATCCCTAATTCCAACATTTGGATTTCAAACCTATGTACCTCAAAAACCCTGTTGTTTTAGTTTAGCGAGTTGCTATAAAAAGCAAATTACTTTTGGGCAGTCTGCGTATGATTTTATCCTTAAATTTATTGACATAGCTTCGTATTAAATTAAAAAGATTGTGTTAAAAATATGAAACTTATAGATAAACAAAAATCCATTTCATCTGTACCTACTTTTGCCCTCTTCGTTTGACAATTTATTTTCTTAATTATAACCATTTTAGGGAGTTTTTTAAGGCTACACAAATAGCGTAATTTTGAGTTTAAAAGTCCCGCTGGCCCGGTATTTATGTATTTTTACATATTTATTTATAGGAGGCAATTTTAGCCTTAATCTCATTAATTTCCTATAAAAGATCTGCTTTCCATAAGGCCGAAATCATTTTAACATAGTCTATGACGTCGAATTGAATCGTAAGGTTCCGGCGCAATTTTAAGAAAAGTTCGCCACGCCCTTGCACGCACGCTCCTATTGATCGGGGATTTGTAGAAACCGACAAGTGTCGCCCTCACGTCGACGCGGCGGCGCACCGTAGCACCGTCTCCACCCGAGTGCCTTCATCACAAGTTGGCGGTACGGTGACGGCGTCTTCGAAAAATGTTTGATTTAACCGGCGCTTGTGTAACCCTACCGATGACCGGATGGTGCATGCGTTTTCTTCCATGGCTTTTCCATCGAAAGGACCATTTAAGATTTAAGTGAGTTCTGTGTTGTTATTAATGGAAAGAAATGCCGCTGAATTGCGTAGTTCACGTGGGATGTGGGAATGGAAATCATAGCAAGGTCCGCACCCTCTTTTTTAATATCTTAAACTTAAAAACAAACCAAAATTGACATATAATATAGTTTACGAGACAATTAAATAATCAAATTATGAACTTGAGTGCTTATTTGGCAGCCCAAATTATTAGCAATTTCAAAAATGTTTTAATTCTACTAGTATATCTTCTTTTGCTAAAATTTCTGATATATGGTAATAAAATAATAATAATCGCAGAAGGGCATAAATAACCTTTTCAAGGCTTAAAAAGTAATATTCCCAGATAATATCTAAAACATAATATCTATTATTACATATTATGTTGTATACAAATATATTTGGTACTTAGTAACCGTCAAAAACTCTGTTCCTGGCTTAATTTAATAAAATACCTTTTAAGCAATTCCAGAGCCAATTAAACAAAAAGGTAAATAATGTTTAAATAATATTTAAAAGTAATAAAATATTATTAACGTTGTAGTTAAGTGCGGCTTCCAATGGGTTTATACATAAATATCGATTAAGCCCAAGAATGTGCTGTCCCCTCCCCATTCTATTGCTTGTTTTTGGTATGCTACAATGCCAATGTCTTCGTTAAAAACCGATGGCGAATTTGTACCGTTTATAAAAATCATATCTTCTACTTATATTTAAAGAGTGTTATTTTGAAATTAGTTATAAATAATAAACACCAAAACAATTTATTTTTAAGGAGCAGCAAAATTATCATAGCAAATGGTTTTCTTAAAATATAACTTTTAAAATAACAATATTTATATCCATGATAATGTTCCCAACCTTTTTGAACTTCTATCTATCGTCTCATAATTCAAAATGAAATTTAAAATACATGGATAAAACCACTGGATAAAACGGCAGCACTATACAGGGTCCTTTTATGTAGGTATGTGTATCTTTTTTTTATTTAACCCCTGTCAAAAACAAAAATCGTCACAACTTCGTTATTCCTGGAAACTTTGGAAAAAAGTAAGTTGTGCATGTAAACACACACTTAATCTACATTTGTGATTTTTTTTCGCCTACAAGATTTTGAGTTACCATCACCGTCTTTTTTATGTTTTCTATGGCCGGAATTTTTCATGGTTAGATAGATAAAAAATCAAGGAATCCAATGAAAAAAATCATTAAAAAAACAGAACTGGTTTTTGTGTTTTGATAAAATATTTTGAGAAACGCTTTTTTCAATTTTTAAATAATTTTAATAGGTTTGTAATAACGCAATTTTTTTTTGATAAAACCGACGTTTTAACTCTCCAAACAAAAATACCCATATGTATACACACAAAAGGATACTTGGTGCACCCTGTATAAAGTTGATAATTTTGACCCTGTATGTTATGCAAGCTAAGAAGAAATATAGTAAACCACAACATGTATGATATTTTATATTGAATAATAACATTGTTTCAGGTATAGGTGTATACGATCAAGGAGACTACCCAGGATCTCAAGATGACCTTTCCCTTCCACCAATTCAGCTCATACAAAAGTATGCAACATCAAACAACTTATATCTCAGGTAAGGCTTAAATATTTTTATTTAATATTACTTTAAGTGGCCTGATGGTGAATTATGTAGAACTAATCCATTTTGAAAAGCGCCGGGCCGGTAAACCTTTTGAACCCCTTAATATTTAAAACCTGTTTTTATGGATCTTAACTGTATGATCAAATTTGTTTTTAATTTAGGGAAAGCATGCTAAAAGGGCCTAAAATTGTACCTATGTGTATGTTACCTACCCCGGATTTATTACACCATTTTGAAAATGATTATACTTTTTCCGACTTCAGTTTATATTTGACAAAAATATTATCTTGAATTATACATCTGTGGGTAAAAGGCATAAGGGGATAAGTCAAAAAAAGGAATTTTTCAATAGAGCCTTTAACGTGATCGGGAAATATATTTATGTTTAGCGGGTATACGCTTTTTTAGCATATGATATGTGTTAACAAAAGGGTATACCCGCTAACCATAAATATGTTTCCTGAATTAATGCGAATACGTTTAAGGCTCTACTGAAAAATTGCTTTTTTGACTTATCCCCTTATGCCTTTTACCCACAGACATGTTTAAAAAAATAAAATGATTTATATACATCTGGATAATTTTTAAAGCTGTGTTTAAAAAAATATATTTGTACCATTATTTTCTCAGTCAAATCATCTTGATTTGAGTTGATGAAGAGAAAGAGTTAAATGTACGTACCTACTATAAAAATCGCATTTTTTTTCTATAATATAATTTTTTTCTATATTATAATTTTTAAAGCATCTAAAATCATTTTCTAAGTTGGCTTTTATTTTTTTACAAAGAAATGAACTTCTAATTTATTAGCATAGGGCACGAGCTAAAATTTATTTATGTTTAATGATTTTTTTGAAATGCTCATAATTTTTTTAAAAACTGAATAATCGAGATGTTTTGTTCCTTTAATTTTGTTGTTTTTTAACGTACTTTTCAGGCAAAAATAAAAATACAAAATCAATATCATATTTTATGAAATGAAATTCGTCATTTTTTTTTGGTTAAACAAATTGATTTATTCTAAATTTAATAACGCAAATCTCAATTCAATTTAATTAAACAAAATATTTTTTTATAATCAAATAATTTTAAATAAATATAAACATAAAAATGTAAAAAGTGTAGCTCAAAACCGCAACATCAAAAAAAGTTGTCATCGTTTTTAATTTTTTTTTACTGATTTAGTATATAAATTTATGCCAAAAGGGCGTGGCGTGGACTGCCCCATATACAGGTTGTCTGGAAACTAAACCGACAAACGAATTCTAGGGATGATTTTAGATCCGAAATGGCTTTCTATGGAAACTTTTGGAAAATAGCCATTTGTTATTATTTTTATTATAATTTTGTTTATTAAGAAGAAACGAACTGTAGACTTCAAACGTTGTAAGTTTGATATCGCAACGTCATCAGCCATGCATTGCCCACCGAGCGATGACGTTGCGGTATCAAAGCGTTTGAACTCTACAATCTTTTAGTGTAATTTTTAAACCATAGGTCTCAAATTTGGGGGGTTACAAATAGTACTAATAATAACCCGCACAAGCCATTCAGTTGGCTTCTGGGACTTCTTAGGAAGTAAGGGTGGAACTAAAAGAGCACTTTTGTATATAAACTTTAATAATAAGTACCCCAACTTTGATTCTTCTAGATAAACAGCGATTTAAATTAGAGGAATTTAAAAAAGACAATGTTGGTCATATCTTGTAAACTCGTTTTTAGAATCTTTGTCGGTATAGTTTCCCTATGTAGGGCTGTAACTTCACTTAAATGTATATAAAATGCTTTAAAAAATGGTGGCTAAGGGGTAAATTATAGGGCGTTGACCTATACCCCTTGACCAGATCGCAGCAGGTTTGTTGCACCCTATAGCAAGGAGTTTTCGCGCTCCCTACTAGGTCAGCTTTTCCTCTACGCGGCGCAATTGGCTGAGAGCGATGACCGCGCTCCGTCAACCCGACGCGGCCCTATTTTTTTTGCTAAACTTTTTAATAATAAATTCATTTTTGTAATTAATTTTTTTAAATGTTCATATAACATATATATTGGTACTGTTTTGGTATTATAAGAAATTGCTTGAACTTAATTTAAGTAAGCTTTTTACATTATTTTTAATATATTAATTTAAATCGAAAAATTCATAAATCTATTTATGCTAGTCATTTTTAACAATATCTTCTCTTGGTTCAATTTTTTTAAACACATAATTGTACATATTGATTATTCGAAAGAAAAGTGACAATTCAAAATGTTTAAAAATTAAGGTGCTCCTGCACGGAGAAACTAAAAGCATTAATAATAATTATTGTACATTAATGGCAGATCAATGTTACTGTTTTATTTTCTCCGTGTGGACGCGGTTTTGATTAACATTAAAAGTTATGGCGTTTTGAAGTTTGAGTGACTCATTCGGCAATATTTGCCAATAAATCATATTTATTTCAATGTATTTTCAATCATCATGGATTAAAAAAGCAGTAGTATTTTAAATTACAATTATTAATTAAAATTTGAAGTTGATGTTGGATGAAAAGTATGACTTATTATTATTGGCAAATGGTGAGATAGATTCATAGACATAATATTATTAAAAGAGTGAAGGAAAATATCACTGTTAACTTGAAAAGTTAGTTTTGTATATTTTTGCTTGATAAAAAATTAAAAACGTCGATTTTAAAATTAAAATACAGTGGTGGTTTGTTATGCATTTGGTTCCAAAAGTTATATAAGTTATAGTGACAAAAAATAGTACTATTTTTGCAGAACAATGATTTTTAAAATTATGCTCAATTTTAAAAGTTATGGGCGTTGTTAAATTACATGCGTAGTCTGTACTAATCTACTCTTAGACAGGGAAAGAGATGGACGCGTTATCAGACAGTTAGAAATACTGTAAACAATGAAAATAGTATAGATGAAACGGATATCCGGTCTATCCGGCTTAAATGAATATCCGGATATACTGGATAGTAAGTCCGGCCGGATACCGGTTATTCAAAAAACTGACAGTTTATAAAATTAACTGCAATGTGCATGGGCATTAATTATCTAAGGTGTTTTTTAACTTGAACCATCCCTTCCCCTCGGTGAAATTTGGTAAGATTTGGTGGGACCCCCCCTTACGTGAAATATCCGGCCCATATCTAGAAAATACACTGTAAGAAATCTGACATTTTTAACGTTGGTCAACAGTTTGATGTAATGATTTAATATACATGAGGATCCTAGAAGCCAAGCGATAAAAGTGACATTTAAAAAAAATTTAGTTATGTACAGAAAAAGATAGTAAATTTTACTGGATACCTATAACTGAATTCTAAGCTTGAAAAACTGACTCCAAATTAAAAGTGTTTTTTACTTTAAACATGATTATCTCAAAACTAAACAAAAAGTACTTGCACCCCTTGGCTTCTAGGGTCCTCAAATAAAATCTTTATGAATAAAAGATTGCAATTTGTGTATTTAGGAACTGGTTTAGCATAATATGCATATATTATACTAAATAAAATAAACATATTTATTACCTTCAAATGAATTATATAAGCGAATTTTAAGTTATCATTAATAATATAGATTTTTACCAGTGATTATCTCCTAGGATGTAAAAATAATTTAGACCAATCTGGTGAATTTTTTTACATCCCAGTTTGTAAAAAACCCGATAGGACCAACCAAACGATAACTGCTGACAACTCTGAAGCTATCCAACCTTTTAATACTATTTACTTACTATACATTTAATAATAGTTATTATAATTGTAGGTGCATTTTATGTATCTTTAACAAATAAAACTGTGCCTTGAAGATGTTGATTGCTATTCGGCACAGAAGTGTCTTTTTGTGCTTCGGTCAATTGTAGGCATCCGCTTTGCCTTGACATAAATATGACCTAAAGAACTATTAATATGGCATAAATAACTATTAAATTAATATACAAAAACACTGAAAAAACTTAAAAGAATAAGGCCTATAAAAATTTATTAGATTCGTAAACCGTGGGGCAGTTCTCCATTGCTGAACATTGCAGATTCTTTAGATTATTTGATTACAGATTTTTCTTTAGGTTTATTTTTTTATTACATGCATTAACTTCTTGATCTTCTTCATTACTCTGTTTATTTTATATTTTCTTCACCTTCATCCTCCTTTTTTTGTTTTTTTTTTCATTGTTAAAAACAATAATACATTTTTAATAATTTTTATTTATTTAATAAAAAAATTAATATTTATCCACTCATATTGCATAATTTTAAACATTATAAATTCCCTGCCTAACAACGTGAATAATAAACTCAATATTCACGTTGTTAGGCATCAGTGATTGGCCGATTTCAATATTTACTGTGATTTGAACCAATCAGGTTTTAAATTGGAAGAATAATAATTACATTTAAAATTTGGTAAAAAGTAAGGTTAACCATTTGACAGATGTCAGATTTTATTTATTAAATTTTTAAAATCATTTAATTATCTACTTATTGGAATAGATTCACTCGGATGATTTGAGTCTCTCGTCTGAAGACTCGAGATGCAAACCTCATCCTCGTGAATAATAGCCTGCATTAGTATAATAATATACTATTATTTAACATATTTTACATTTTATATAATATTTATTTCAAAAATGGCGAATGCGCCGGGATATTTTTTCTATTATTTAACATATTTTACATTTTATATAATATTTATTTCAAAAATGGCGAATGCGCCGGGATATTTTTTCTTAATTTTGATTCTTTTAACTCGATTAACATGTCAACATTTATTTTTTCTACTCCTATTATAAAATATGGCCATTTTAATATAACTTTTTAATATGGAATTAAATATATTCTTTAAAGTGTTACAGAATAAATTATTCTATCACGGAATAAATTCTGGTGGCGCCAACTCCATGTTTATTATCTAAAAACTTTTAGACCGATCCAACCTCACTTTCTCCTGATTAAATTATTTTTCTAATATTTTTTGGAAACTTAAAAAAAACTATA